AAGGGAGTATGAGTGTGTCACCCCGTCAAAGCCGTTCTCTGCCTTCTTGTTGAAACGCGCATGCGACAAAAAGTGGTAGAAAACGAGTAATACGAAGGATATGATACAGTATTGTCACTTGCCCGCTTAACAACTGGTGGAGAACGAGTTTGGCACAGCGCCAAACGCACCGCACTATATCAGCAGTTCTGTTTTCCCGTTTCTGTGGCTGTGTGAGTCTCTCAGTGTAGTTACAGTCCTCTTAATTGGATTCTTTCAGATATTTACACCCCAAATAGTCTTGTTCGAAGCGGAAGCTGGGGCTTGTCAGGGGGGGGGGAGATGGGCCGGGTACGACGTGGCGCCAGTCCGTTTTCTTCCGATTGTGGTCGCCTGTCAGTTTTCACAGTGGTGAAGAAGGGGTTGGCGCTGCGCCAAGCCCAGCCACCCCTGACTACCCCACCATCCTCGACGAACGAGACCGTAGGTTTGCCTGTTGCAGCAGTTGGTCTCCCCTGTCTTCAAAGGCTACACATTTGTCTAGGAACACAACAAAAGCACCATTACCACCTACTGGTTGTCCTGTCAAGAAGTACCCTGCAGCTCTCTTTTCAGAGCTATGGAAATGAGAAAGAAACTCGCTGCTGAAGGGTTTGTAGGTACTTCGCTTCCCTCGAAATCTAGCTTAAGTTGACTGCATCTTTTCGATTTACTAAACAAAATAAACAATAAAGTTATAGCTGGTAATCACCAACCTCCATGAGGAAGACGTTGAGTTGTTCGTCGACTATGAAGTCGAACCGGCTAAGTTCGAAGAAGCTCGCTTCCGAAGACATCGTTTTGAGCGCAGCGAGCATTCTTGGCTGTTGGTTGCGGAACACCTACAAACAGAATTTTTTCGAAAAGAAAACAACAGAGGTCCGAGCATTTGCAAAACCATGCACAGTGTTTCTGGTGCAGACGATGGGGCGTGTCTGGGGTGAGGAGAATCTGTTTTGTGTACCTCTGCGATGATCTTATGAATTTGAGTCCAGATTTTCGATGGTTCTATGCTCTTCGTCTGCAGATAAGCGTCGAATGATGCTCGCCATCCAAGTTTCTGTTCGGTGAAGAGCCGTCTCAAAGACGGTATCTGAACGATTCGTCAGGCAAGAAGGATGAATGCGAATGTCACTCCATAAGTTAACTAGGTTCTGGCCCTAACCTCCCAGATTGGTGTGTAGTCATCGCCAACGACATACTTGTCAAGCCTGGTCGAGTTGAAGGGCAGGTAATCTTCAGCGCAGAATCTGAAAAACTAGAGGTTCAGGGTTGAAAGATAAGGTAGAAAGGGTTGGAAAACCGTGGTAGGTGAAGCCAAATCAAAGACATACAACGTGGAGAAAAAGTTCTTAAAAATAAATAAATTTAGTTCTCACCTAATGAGCGCATCTCCTTCATAGACATAAACTCTTAGTGGATGAATGGATGTTATCACAGTGTAAATCCCAATGTCGAATTTTCTTCATAAATTATAAAGTTCATAACTTATAGTTGAGAACGTCGCAATCAGTCGGGGAGGTGTCAGGAGGGGCGGAGGGAATCCGCCTCCGGCTGCTTTGCTCCGTGATCCGTAGTGATCGACGTAGCAAGAAAACAACCAGTGGTGGGAACAGGGTACAGCATCGTGATGTGGGAATGGTGGTGTCAGTACGACCCTCCCCCCTGAAAGAAGGTCTCGGTACGACCCCCCCCCCTTATTCCCCAAGC